AAAGTTTACAGGTGCAGCAATGTGCCTTGATGTACTTGAATGTTAGAAATGTGTTCTCCTACACCAGTACAAAGTCACTTGTCAAATAAATGAACAAGGAAGATTATTTTGAGTTTAAGTTATTTAATTATCTTGCTTATGAAGACTGCAGAGTGATGCATGAACAAAAATGACTTTGAATAATGTTTTAAGTATTTTGTGATGTACATGTTAAAATGTGCTCCTAATAGTAAGTGGCCCCTGCCTGCCCCCCACAGGTTAGTAGTAAGCTAATGTAATTTCATAATGCAAATCTTAAATTCATGCTAACCAACAAATGATCAAATGAAATGTATTAATGTAATACAATATGAATTAATATTTACTTTAATCTGTAATTATATTGTTCTATTAAAAAGATTTTTAAAAATATTTTGTCAAATAAAATATTTTTTAGGAGTCATTCACCGTCATTTTGTGACTAAAAAGTATCGATTCAGGCACCGTTTTGGCACCGGTATCGTTTTAAAAGTATCGATTTAGCACCGGTATCGAAAAAAAACCAAGCGATACCCAACCCTAATACTGAATGTAACCCCAAACCATGATTTTTCCTTCAACAAACTTGACTGATATCTGTGGAAATCTTGGGTTCCAATGAGTCTTCTGCAGTATTTGTGATGATTGGAATAAGGAAATTCTACCCCATAAAAAATACGTTTATAGTTTTGTCAAAATCCTTCCAAAATGTTTGACAATGTTCTGACAATGTTGCTCGATTTGCTTGTTATTTTCTACTGACATTGACGCTGTTATCAATTTAGTTATATTTATAACTATAATTCTTGCTGCTCTGCTGCTATGAACAATGACATATTAGGAAATGATCGAAGATCCACCAATCATATTTAAGTATTCTAAAAAATTGTATACTAAAAAAATTAATAATTGATATTAGTAATTGATGGGCTACAGAAATTATTAGAAAACATTGCACAGCTGAGTGGCCACTACATTTCGGATGTGCATCAGTTTTTAATATCTTAATGGATCTGAGTCTTTCCCAGTGATGGGTTGCGGCTGGAAGGGCATCCACTGCGTAAAAACTTGCTGGATAAGTTGGCGGTTCATTCCGCTGTGGCGACCCCGGATTAATAAAGGGACTAAGCCGACAAGAAAATGAATGAATGAATCTGAGTCAAGTATGCCACTTTTTAAAAGTTCACACTTAGCTGAGAATTGATTATAAAGCTTGTTTGACATGCTGTTTCGGGAAAGAGCCCTAAGATCCTCGAGCCCGGGGCTCCCTTCCGTTTGCAAGGTGCTCAGGTAGATCTCGAGAACTCCCCTGCTGTAGTTGCTAATGAACTGGTAGTGATTGCTCTCAAGAGATACCCGTGGGAAACCCATGTGAGCACAGGGAGAATGTGTAAACTCCACACAGTAACATCAGCTGGCTTGGTATGGACTAAAACCAGTGACGTTCTTGCTGTGAGTCAACAGTGCTAACCACAGGGCCACCGTGCCACCCATCTAGGAAAGGAGGAGGAGTAGGGGTGGAAGGGGGGATTCTTCAAAAAAAGGGACGGCCGTTATATGGAACTTAGGAATCGTCTGATTGGTGCATCATATGTTGGATAATGCAGGCCAATTGCAAGAAATCATAAGCACATGATCCTCTCAAAATTAGTTTAGAAATAAACTTCACTTAAAGACACTGTTCTTCAGATGTTGTTTTTGAAGAACATATAATTTGTGTAGTCCTAGTTTCCTCCACATCTCATCCAAATCTGTTTTAATTTATTTATTAATTTAGTAATTTTTAGGCTCTGAAATAAGTGAATTCGTTGAGTCTAGTGATACAAAACTGTTTTAGCAGTGCAGATCCCCCTTAGTCATCCTCAGCCAATCAGAATTAAGGACTCAACGACCATGTAGTACGAAATGAACCCATTATAAATATTAAAACACCCACATCTTTCTGTCTTTTTATGGAAAACTTTATCCCTTAAGGGAGTACTCTCCAATTTTACTGTACTGCTTTCACAAAAGGGAGCAGGTCTTAAGTGTATAACTCAAGGTCTCAATGAGGAAACCACTGAAATTCCAGGACACTTTAAAGATATCAACGTTTTTGCTTGGGGCAAGGGCATGTGCATTCAAGCATCACATCTGATCTTGTGTGTTAAGCTTGACCTTGAAAGACTGACACTATGGCTGTCAGGAAAAAAAACATCCCATTTGGGTTTTCTTTTTTTTTTTTGTGTTGGTTGACATTGTGAAGCGTCGACTGATTGAACATCTTTGCTGCTGCCGCTGCTATCAGCCGGAGCACACAGGGTCAGTGTTAGCATCATCAGTGACATCCATCAGACCGGCACGCCAAGGCTGCGTGGACAAATTTCCACGATCAATAGCATCATGACAGGACAACACGAGGTTACGGTCGTCCCCCGTCAACGCTATCTGTTCTTTTTCCAAGTCTGACAGATGTGGGGTAATTAATGGACTTCATTAATCAATCAAAGCTGTTGCTAAACTCTGGGTAAACCATGCAAACATGTTGTTATTTACTGTGTGGGAGGGAAATAAAGGTTTAAAGGGACAGTTCAAAAAAAGGAACAAATGGCACGGTGACTCAGTGGTTAGCACTGTCACCTCACAGCAAGAAGGTCGCTGGTTTGAGTTCTGGCTGGGCCAGTTGGCATTTCTGTGTGGAGTTTGCATGTTCTTCCTGTGTTCCCATGACTTCACAGTCTAAAAACATGCAGTCTAAGTGAACGGGATGAACTACATTGCCCGTAATTATGAGTGTGTGTGGATGTTAGAGTGTATGGGTTTTTTTCAGTACTGGGTTGCGGCTGGAAGGGCATCTGCTGTGTAAAACATACGCTGGAATAGTTGGTGGTTCATTCTGCTGTGGCGACACCTGATAATCAGGGACTAAGCCAATGGAAAATAAATGAATGAGTTACTCGTAGGACTCTTGCTGGGGGTCAGAGAGCTCTCAGATTTCATTTAAAATATCTTGATTTATGATCTGAAGATGAACAAAGGAAGAGTGAGTAATTAAGGACAATTTTCATTTTTGGCAGAACTAACCCTTTAATTCAGAGATGCTCAAACTAGGGCCCGTGGGCCCGATAATTTAAAGCAATATTTTGTAGTTATTTTTCTAATATTAAGAAATCACTCATGGAAACATTATTGTAATACAGTTAATACAGTCAATTTCTGCCCACAGCCCTCAAACAAGTTTGTTTTTTGGCCCTTCATAAGAAAAAGTTTGGGCACCCCTGCTTTAATTCAATTAATTTGAAATAATGTCTTAATCTTTTTAGTTAAAAGGTAATTTTAGGTCTGGGTTTTACATGCTCACTATTCATTTAATAAGTACTTTATATAGAGGCCCTTGCTTCAGCACACCGCTCGTCTCTCACACTGCTTTGCTGTGATCTTGATCTGCTTTTCTTCAGTCTCTTTTACAATTTACTGTGGTGAGTTTCTAGGCCATAACTTTGTGGCCAAGGATTTTCCAAAGATTTTCAATCAGGTTTAAATCAGGACCACGGGCAGGCCATTTCATTATTTTAGTGATTTCAGCTGAATGCAGAGAGAAGCTTCTGAAGAACATTTGCATAAAGTCCTTTCATGTAGATATAAAATGATAATGTAGTATTTAACAGTCTATGGTCACCATTCACTACAACTAAATTCGTCAAATAACCATGCCAGGTTTGGAATGACAAGGCAGTGTAATGGCTTAGGGCCCTATCATACACCCGGCACAATGTAGCGGAAGGCGCGGCGCAATACTTGTTTGGTAGTTTCAGCTTGGCGCAAGAGTTGTTTTGAGGCGTTGCGCTACGCTGTCTAAATAGCAAATGCATTAGCGCTCATATGTGCGTCCATAGGCGTTCTGGTCTAAAAAGGGAGGCGTTCTGAGGCGCACTGCTGGCGCGTTGCTATTTTGAGAATCTAAAATAGATTTTTCATAAGACCAAAACAAACCCGGTCTAAACTCTGGCGCAGAGTTGCGCCTCGCTTACGCACTGCTTAATACGAACAAGAGAGCAATACGCAAATATCTTTACATATGAAAAAAATTAAATATTAAGGATATATTTAGGATATCATAAGAATAGATATAGGATATAAATATAAAGGTTCAAAATATTACAAAACATATTATTTTCTAGCCTACACAAATATGAAAAATCACTGCTTTTATGTCTTCTTCATCTCGGGAGGCTTTTTCAGTTCATTCATAACAATTTGCTTTTTTATAATGTTATTATTATTAGCAGTATTATTTATTATATCCATATTTATATTTGTTTTATTAAAATAAAAGCTTAGATTTGCCCACCTGTCAGGTTTTAGACCATAAAGGGCACATCATGTGTTTTAGGATATAACTCAGGTTTTTGCGCTCATTTTGTTATTAATGTTCATTTATTCGTTTGCTGGATATTAGAACTGAATTTAGAAATAGTTTTGAAACGAATATTTGAGCTTAACAAACGCAATTAATTATTTATAGACTAATTGATGTCTGTGCGTAAAGGTTTCCCTATCCAAGAGCGAAAGTGATCCATTATCTCTCATTCTTACGCAGTAGATGCTCTGTTTAACAGTTTTCTGTTTAAAAAAAAAAAAACTGTGAACTGTTTGCTTGTGAAATGCTCAGTTTTTCGACTTAAACTTACTTTGCGCTGCGTCCTGTAAATGGCGAATGCGCTCTTGGCGCGACGCAGCTGGCTCTTAAAGGGAATGGGAGATGAGACACTAATTGGTTTATTCTAAAAACACACCTATATCTCATTAAGAAAATAAACTCAACCCTTTTAGACCATGCACCGTGGCACAAAGCAGGTTTTCCCGTCCTTAAATTAGCAAAAATGCGTTCTTACACACCCTGAAAGCGTTTGCGCCCTGTGTTTTGCGATCTGCCCATGGACCGTCAAAATAGAGCCCTTAAACTTTATTTTAACTGATATTTTTAAAAGACACACATCAGGTAGAAATCTTGCAGTTTTATTTGCATATAAACTTGGGTAAATGTCACAATGAATAAAAAAATTAAATCACAAAACATAAAAAAAGCATTTACAATACCAGAAATGACATAAAACTTTTTTTTTTTTTGTGCTCACAAGATTGCAGATCCACAATGAAATATACAACACATTTTTACAACAACTAAAAATGAAGATTGGCCTAGTGTTGTACAGCATTGTCATTTCCAGTTTCTAAACCAATGGAACGCAGAAATACTGCAAATGTATCGAACAATTGCATTTACAAAATTCACCAAATTTATCTCCTGAGGCAAAATTACATTGAAAGTTTTAGTCCATCTTAAATACCTGTCAACTACCTTTATGCATGTTAGGCATTTTCTAAACTGTAATTAGAGGAAAAAAACAAGTGCTTTCAACTTTTTACACACACTGTACCAGTCTATTTTTATGCTGAGAGGACAAAATGTTTCCTTTATGGTGTTTAATGGCCTGAAAGATAAAGATGTGCCTTCATAATGAGTAAAGAGCAAAGTCTGACTGCAACAATAAATATCAGACCCATCGACAGGATTGAAAGATGCACTTAAACCATTAAAATCCGAAATTGAATACAACACACAAGGAGTTTATGACTTTAAATAACTTTATAACAGATTTACAAAGCACACTTAATATTAAATCAGACATGGTCAAGTATTGCTGACGCTTTTAGGAGTACCGTTAATAATGCACTTTTAAGATCCTGACCAATAAAAAAAGACAAACAGAAGGCAACTGATTCAGACAAATTACAAATAT